GAGGTCACTGAACCTTCTTCTGTGATCATTGTCTGGTGGTGCCTTCCTTCTTCCCCACCCCCCACTTCCACTCCCCATTCTGTGCCTTTGCTGGATTTGCATGTTCCCCCTTGCCTCCCATCCCCAGTCTGCTGTAGCTACTGGGATGTTTCTCTGCTGGGGTTTTTGGTGTCTGCATGGCTCTTCTCCCCTCCTCCCCCACCGTGATGGGTGCCATGGTAGGAGCTGCTGGGCACAGGACTGGCCCTGATGCACTGCTCCCCTGCCTTCTCTGTCTCTCTAGGAAGCAGAAGCAGCGGCTCGAACAGGAGCGCCAGCGAGAGCAGCCGGCGGGCACTGGGGCGGGAGAAGGAGCGCCGGACAGGGGCCGGGGGAAGCGGGGGCAGCAGTGAGTCGGAGCACACGGTGCGCAGTGCGGCAGGCAGTGGGGGCCGGCGGGAGCGCCCGCCCAGCCAGCTCAGCCGGGGCAGCAGCCCCCGGAGCCAGCTCTCCACCGGTGCCCCTGGCCTGCCCCCGCTGCACCCCCTGCCCAAGGCGGGCACCAGGGCGCTGACAACGCTCAGTGGCCCCCCTGGGGGCCCACCTGTGCGCGAGCTGGCCGCAGTGCCCCCCGAGCTCACTGGCAGCCGCCAGTCCTTCCAGAAGGCTATGGGAAACCCCTGCGAATTCTTCGTGGACATCATGTAATGGGGAAAGTGCCTTCCGACTCCTCTTCCCCTCTGGGTTCCCATCTTTGGAGGAGAATTTGAAGGCTTTGGTGAAAAGGACGATAATGGTGATGAGCTCCCCCTAGTCATAAGTGCCAAATGTGCTCCCCACCTCCCTCCCACCCCTTCAGCAGGCTTGCTAACTAGAGTCCCCCTCGATGCTCTGCACCTACAGAGGACAGCACCCAACCCAGATCATTGGAAGCAATGCCAGGGTGGGGGAGGGGGAGTTCTCATCGATGGCCGCTGTGATAATGAACTTGTGTTCCTGAAACACTTACTGTGGGGCCCCAGCCCAGGCCGTGGGAGGGACCCCAGGGCTGAGGACCCTGAGAGGCAGTGAATGGGATGTATCGGATGAAGGAGTCAGATGATGGGGGTGGAAGCATAGCTCTGCCGCTAGCTCAAGATGTGACCTAGGGCTAATTATTTCCCCTCTTGGGGCCTCAGTTTCTCTCATCCATACAGTTAGGGAGTAGGAGTGGACAATCTGCAAGGTCCTTTCTAGCTCAGAATCTTTGTCTCCTAGGGGGGCTGTGTTTCTGTCTAGGGCTTTCAGTTGGCTTCTCTGCCAAAGAGCTCCCTGGATGGGTGGTAGAGGGGGCAGGGCTGCTTGGGCTCTGTCCCCTTCCCTAGGGTTGGGAAGTCCCCCCCCCCCCAGGGCACATCCATGGAGCTTGAGAGTGCTGGAGGGATGAGCTAGCTCAGCCCTAAGTGAGGAGGACTGTTTTGAATAGGAAAGTAGAGGGCCCTATTTTGGTCAATTCCCCATTGTCCAGGGTTCATCACTTTGCCTGTGGATTACCCAGGTTTCTGTCCTGGTTAAATCTGGTGTGTTCGTTGGGGGTGGAGTTGGGAGTTAGGAGAAGGCTTAGCGCTGTCTGTCTATAATGACAAACGTGTGGAGGGAGCAGGATGATGATGGTCTTGGCTCATGTGGGGAGGGTGACCCTTAAGAGGTCTGTGGTTTGTCAAGCCTCTGCTTGTCGTGGCTTATCCATGAGTGAGAAGTGTCCCTCCCCACCCCTTCCCCACCTCCCCTCCGCCTGGTCTAGAGAGCTCTGCCTTCCCCTGGCAGGACTGTCCCGTCCTGAGCCTCTTCCTTCTGTTTGGATGCATCTTCTCACTCATGTTCTCCTGTCCCCTGGGTGTCCCAGCCAAGAAGTCAGGTGGGGCCATTCATTGCCTGGCTGCTGTAGGGTCAGTGGTGATTTGGGGGGAGGGGAGTGGTCGGAGGGAGGTTTAGGCTCAAATCTCCTCCCTATTCTCCAAATCTGAACACAAAGCTCTGGGAGTGAAAGGTGGGATTGATATCATCCCCACTCTCACCCCCCAGTGGTTTGGGGTGCCCTAACAGTGCTGTTTTATTTATTTATTTATTGCACCAGGCCTTGAGGGCAGGTCCCCCCACCCCTGCATCACTGACAGGGTCGAGGCGGACTGTGGCTAAACCCCCTCGTGCAGCTGGCCCGACTTTCCCCTGGATCCCCCCAGCCCAGGCCTGTAAGATGGAGAGGAGAGCCAGGAGGCAGCAGAGTTGGGCTTTGTGCATTTAGCTGGGGCTGCCATGGCGGGAGCGTGGTCAGTGAATGGGCCAAAGCCAGAAGACGGAAGAGACTCTGCCCATAATACGCCTTCCTGTTTGCTTTGTTTGCATCTGACTGAATGAGCATGGTTTGCTTTTAAAGGACAAAAGTACTCTAGCCAGTGATTGGCAGAAACCCACACTAGACTGTGTATGTACAATAATGGGGGGAGGTGGGCGATAAAGGCGAAGCTTTTGAAATAATGCACACACCCTCACCCCGGGCCCTTGTCTCTGCAGTGCTCCTTCCCCTGACCCCAGCCTGTTTTCAGGTGTGTCCAGCCCTGGCCCCCCTCATCTGTTCTCAGGTGCACCTTCTCCAGACCCTCACCTAGTCTCAGGTGTGTCCAGCCATGACCATTCACCTGTTTTCAGGTGCACCTTCCCCAGACCCTCACCTGGTTTCAGGTGTGCCCTGACCCTCACCTGGTCTCAGGTGCACCTTCCCCAGACCTTCACTTGGTCTCAGGTGTGCCCTGACCCTCACCTGGTCTCAGGTGCACCTTCCCCAGACCCTCACCTGGTCTCAGGTGTGCCCATCCCGAGGGGCCTTGGCTCATGTGGAATGCACCGCTTCCTGTCCAGTGTCTCTCGCTTCCACAGGATTCTGTTCTGTAGATATTGTATCAAAGCCTGAGTGTTTGTATAGTTAATATATAGCTGCATCTGTGTAAATGCTGCTTCTGTGTAAATGCTATTTTAAACACTTAAAAAAAGAAGCTTTTAATTTTATGTGATTTCTTGGTCTCCTGTCTTTTCTTACTTTGCCATCAGGCTGTTTGGGTCTGGGCTGTCACCTTTTCCAAACTCGGTCTTGTTGTTCAGTCATTTCAATTGTATCTGACTCTTCGTGACCCCATTTGGGGTTTTCTTGGCAGAGATACTGGAGTGGTTTGTTATTTCCTTCTCCAGCTCATTTTACAGATGAGGGAACTGAGGCAAACAGGGTGAAGTGACTTGCCTAGGGTCACATAGCTGGTAAGTGCCTTAGGCCACATTGGAACTCAGGTCTTCCTAACTCCAGGCCCAGTGCTGTAGCCAATGCACCCCTAGCTGCTTGGATGATTTCCAAACTGCTACCTCTTCCTGGGCTTCCTTTGTTCTCAGGTTGGGGAAAGCCCCTGGGTCTTAGAAGACAGTCAGCAGAAGCCTAGAGTGCTATCCATGGTGCTGAAGGGTTCACTCTACTTATAGTAGCCAACCTATCACTTGAAGGTTTACAAGGTGCTTTGCAGATCTCACTTTTGACCAGGGAGAGTTGCTGTTCTAGTGTCTTCTTTCCATGGTGCTCCCTTTCCTGCATCTGTGGCTGTACGTGCACTGGCTGGTTTCCCAATCCTGTCTTATCAAAAAGCAAAAAAAAAAAAAAAGAGAAAGAAATTCCAGGGGAGCAGCTAGGCACAGTGGATAGAGCTCTTGGAGTCAGGAGGACCTGAGTTCAAATCTAGGTTCAGATACTTGACACTTACTAGCTGTGTGACCTTGGGCAAGTCACTTAACCCTGACTACCTCACCAAAAAGCGAAAAAAAAAAAAGAAAAGAAAAAGAAAAGAAATTCCAATCCTCTTTTATACCTGTGCTGCCCCACATCAGCCCAAATCAGGGCTAAGGCTTGTGTGAAGTCAGAAGTACATCTAGGACAGGCTCTTCTCTGACCCTAGCCTTCCTTTTCACAAACTAAAGGGTTTGAGCCACCTAAGGTCTCCTCCTTCCTCCACACTTCCCAATTGCCTCCCTGCCCATTCTGGGGGAGGGGGAAAATGATGGTAGTAGTGGTAGTCTGGCTAATCCTGGAGTAGACGATCCATAATCGGCCTTTGTCTGGCTCAGGCCAGGATGAGCCTGTCCTTCCTGAGCTCCTACCTACCAATAGGGATGAGGAAAGAGAGAGCAGAGCCTGGAGCTGAGCTGGGGATGGTAGTTTCAGTGTTCGTGGGAGATAAACCATATATAACAAAATTGGCTGTAGGTGGTCTTCCCAGAGTTATGTGGTGGAAAGAGGGCTGAACCTAGCAACAAAGAACCTGGATTCAAATTGTACCTTTGTGGCTTACTAGCTGTGTGACCTTGGGCAAGTCACAACTTCTCTGGGCTTCAGTCGGATGAGGAAGTTGGACTGGATAATGTGTGATGGCCCTTCTAGGTCTCTGGGGCCTCAGATCTCTCCCCTGCCCTGCACTCCAGCCAAACTGGATTCAGCCCCATTCTCTTGTGTCATCTCAGCTTTCAATGAAGCCTGCCCTATTTCCCTATCTCCTTCCCCCATCAGGCAGAAGTGAGCTCTTCCTCTCTTCAATCTTGAACCTGTGAAAGCTGGGACTTCTTGTATCCAGTCCTATTAAATTTCTGTGCCCGTGTCTTGACCTTTCCACCACTTACTGATAGATTGTGAGCTTTCTGAGGGCAGGACAAGAGTCGCCTTCATTTTTTTACATCTCTTAGTGCTCAGCAGTTAGCACTTAGCCATTGATCTTCAGGCTCATAGTGAGCTAATTCAAGCTGATGACTCGATGGGCAGGGCAGTTGTTCCTGCCAGGAGCTGTCCAGCTTGGGGTGATCACCTGTGTCCTGAGCTAGACTTAGTGGGGGCCAAGGCTGGCTTCCTTCTCATTAGGGATTCTTTCCTGTTTTGCAACACAGACCCCTTCTTAGAATGTCTTTAAATTCATGAAACAAAATCCATAGGATTAAAAAGGAAACCAATTGTATTGAAATACAGTTATCAAAAAAAATTTTTTTTAAACCACTTCATAGACCCCAGGTGAAGAATCTTTGCTTTAGAGACTGGACAGAACTTGGAGGGGAGTGGTCACTGTAGGCTGGAATTAGGGGACACTCTGGTTTCATGGGGCCAGGTTTGAGGTAAGGGAGATACTGAGGTCAGGACCCTAGGACCCTGTGTTATTGGGGTTGGGATCACAAAGGCAGGATCATTGTGGGGCCATGGGGGATCTCAGGTTAGAGTCACTGTGGGGTCTTGCTGGGGCCACAGTCCCAGGTTTACTGAGAGTGAGTTACTGTGGGGTTGGGATCATGGGGTCTTAGATCAGAATTCTTGTGGAGTTAGGGTCAGCCTGGGCCTAGGCCTCGGAAATCACTGGCTCTCTTTCTTGGCTGCCTTCCCTTCCTGGTCTTTTCCTCTGTCCCATGGCCCCAGCTCCAGAAAGCTCTGGAAAAACTCTTGAGTGTTGAGGTGTGACTCCCAGAGCAGCAGGTAGCACTTGGGCAGGTAGAAAGTGGCCAGGATCCCAAGGGCACAGAGCAAGATGGCGGCCATCTGCACAGCCGGCTGGTAGAGCTTGTGCACATTGGCAAAGAGTGGGACGAAGGAGATCCAGGTGATGAAGTACACCAGCATGGCAAAGGTGATGCCCCTGGCCACATTGTATCGCCCAGCCTGGCTCTGCACCATGAAGGTGCCCAGGAAACAGAGGAAGGCCAGCGCCACGTTGACCATGTGCACCGTGCCAAAGCTGAACCAGGAGCGGACCCGGCAATGGATGAGGGCCTCACGGGGCAACACCTGCCAGTCAGTCATCACGAATGGTGGGAAAGCAAGCAGGTACCAGGTGCAGAGTGCCCCCTCCATGAGCAGCAGCAGGGTCACCAGCAGCCAGGCCCGGGGCTCATGCAGCCAGTTGCGAAGCCGCCCTGCCCGGCCCGGGAACTCCGATGCCAGGAAGATCTCGGCCGATTTGAGGAAGAGGGTGCTGAGGCAGCCAGTGAGCGTCAGGTGGAAGAGGGGCTGCTGAGCCAGGCAGCTGACCCTGCTGGGCCGGCCTGGGAACTGGAGGACGCTGAGGCAGACCAGGGTCAGGCAGCCCAGACCGAAGCAGCTGAGGTTGCCTCCTGAGGCCCGCACCACTGGGGAAGCCCAGTGGTAGCAAAAGAGCCCCAGAGCCGCCAGGCTCAGACCCATCACCAGCACCAGCAGCAGGAGCAAAGCGATTACCACCGGCTCTCCCCACGCCAAGAATCTGATGGTGCGGGGAAAACACTGAGTGCTGAGATCAGGAGACCACTGGTGGTGTTCGCAGGCAGTGCAGGACAAGTTATCTGCAAAACAGCCCAGGGGAGGAGGAGTGTGCGGCAGGCAGGCAGGTAAGCCTCAGAGACCAATTCCTCTCTCCCCCACTCATCTCCCGGGCTCGTCATATGGATCCCTGGGCTCCTGTTTCTTCAGGCCACAGATAACTGAGAGAAGGCACCGAGAGCCAGGTCCCCAGAATCTCTGTCTCTGAACAGAGATTCTGTCTCCCTCCCAGAATCATCAGATCTCAGCCCTGGAAGGGATCTCTCCAGACCTCGGTGAGATCCCCATAATATCCCCCAAGGTCACCTGATCTCTGCTGGAGACCCGCCCCTGGCAAATCGGGACAGCTCTTAACCATTAGCAACAGTGTGGTGGAGTAACAGAGCACCGGACTTAGAGTCAGTCATTGGACCTGAATTCAAATCCTGCCTCACCCACAGTCAACAGTCATTTACTGAGTGCTTACTGGATGCCAGCGCATAGTACATTAAGTGCCGAGGACACAAAACAGAGCTCATATTCTAATGGGGGAGAAAACGTAAAACACAGCCATGTACCAAACACGGTATCTGTGGGCTATAAACTGGAGGGTATTTCCAAGGGAAGCTGCACCAGCACTAATGGGGGCCAGAAAAGCTTTGGTTTCTTCCTCTGGAAAAGGAAGAAGTTGGATTCATTGGGCCCCCAAGGTCCAGTGATTATAGAGGCTTGGTATGGGTAGTGTGCGCTGAGCTCAAGAAGACCTGAGCTCAAATCTGGCCTCAGATGCTTACCAGCTGTGTGACCCCTGGGCAGGCCACTTAGCCCTGCTTGCCTCAGTTTCCTCATGTGTAAAATGGGGATCATAAAGGCACCAGCCTTCCAAGGTGGTTGTGAGGATCCAATGAGATATCTGTAATGTACTTAGCACAATGCCAAGCATATAGTAGGCACTTAATAATTGCTTGTCTTGGGGCAACTAGGTGGTGCAGTGGCTAGAGCGCAGGCCCTGGAGTCAGGAGGACCTGAGTTCAAATTTGGCCTCAGACACATAACATTCACTAGCTGTGTAACTCTGGGCCAATCACTTCACCCCAATTGCCTCAAAGAAATAAAACACATGCAAGAATCTCTCGTTTCCTTCCTTTTTTCCCCTTCCTGTGATCAGATGAACTGAAACTTGCCCCATAACTCCCGCCCATTGCTTCTGATTCTAAGCCCTTGCAGCCCAGGCTGCAGCCAGAGGCTGGGCAGGAAGGGCTTTTAACACTAAGATGCCCCTTCATTCTTCCCTCCTTCCATCTCTACCCCCTGCCCCCCTACCTCCTTGCATTTTATTCCAAGGGCAGCTAATTTGGGGGGCAGCTCTGCCAAGGCCACCTCTTTGTACTAGTCTTAGAAATGGTGCTATCTTGGGATAGCTAGGTGGCACGGTGGATAGAGCTCCAGCCTTGGAGTCAGGAGGACCTGAGTTCAAATCCGGCCTTAGACTCTTGACCCTGGGCAAGTCACTTAACCCCAGTTGCCTCACTAAAAAGCAAAAAAAAAAAATTAAAAAGAAATGGTGCTATCTCTCCTCAGAAGGGGCTGCAGTGAGGGCATGGGCTGGTGGTAGAAGGGTCTGAGTCACGTTTGGGGGAAGTTCCTGAGTAGGTTCATTCTCAGAGGCCAAGGTGGGGCTGGGACTGGGCTCACCTCGGTTCTGCATATAGGTTCCGGCTTTGCAGCCCGTACAGTCATAGCAGCAGGAGTGGAAACCTTTGATCCTCCTCACCTGGCCCTCCTCACATTCTCGGGAACACCTGGACACGGGCTCCTGGGAAAGGTAGTGGCGCAAGGGGAAGAAATTATTGGCCTGGCTACCCAGCCTAGATCCTGGACATTGCCAAGGTACTGGGACCCCTTTCCCATTCCACGGCCATGAAGGAAGCAGCTTCATCATTGATCCAGAAGAGCTTCAGACTCGAGTCTTGGCTCGAACTGCTGACATGTTGGGTCCGCTCCTTAATGGCTCAGGGTCTCAGTTTCCCCATCACTGATATGAGAGAATTACCTTGGCACCTGCTGACAATTTCTGGGCTATATGGGGCAGAGGGGGTGTCAATAAGAGAAGCCTGGGAGGTATCTTTAGTACTGGGATCCCAGGTTGTCCCCTGACCCCTCCACAGATAGGCTGGCATATAATGATGACAGCTAGGGGGCGCCACACTGGACCTAGAGTCAGGAACACTCATCTTCCTGAGTTCAAATCTGGTCTCAGACCCTCACTAGCTGTGTGACCCTGGGCAAGTCACTTCACCCTGTTTGCCTCAGTTTCCTCATCTGTCAAATGAGCTGGGGAAGGAAATGGCAAACCACTCTAGTACCTTTGCCAAGAAAATGCCAAATAGGGTCATGAAGAGTCAGATACAACTGAAAAATGACCCAACAAATTCCTAATACTTGGCATAGTGCCTTGCTCAAGAGGACATGCTTCTATTTCCATGTGCACGTGACAGGATTGGCCTTGCACATAGCATCTTTTTCCTTCTTTCCATCCCTCCCTCCCTCCCTCCCTCTATCCCCCCAGTTGCTCCCTGTACCTCATTGCTTTGGCCATGCCAGCGGATCTGGGAGCGATTGAGCTTCAGGCCCCCTTGGAAGGAGCCCACGGTAAGGAGTTCCAACTTCTTGTTACTGTGCCAGACCCACAGCTTCAGGTCGTAGGGCATGTCCACGTTCCCACTGTTATCAAACTGCAGGGTAAGTGAGCGGGCGGAGAAGCGCAGGTCATACATCTTGCTCACGAGCTGTGGAGAGAAGGAGCGAGAATGCCCAGGCCAGGCTGGGCCAAGGAGAAAGGAGAAAGTCGGGGGTGGAGGCAGAGGGAAAGGCAGTAATGGGATCCTGGGCTGAGGAGGGCTCCAGTCACTCCCCATTATTGATGAATGAATCAAAAAAGCATTAATCAAGCATTTACTACAAACCAGTCATTCATTAAATGAGACAGTGCACACTTTAAGGCACCCTATGGACCTGAGATCGAGAGCTAGAAGGGACCTCAACAGCCTTCAGGTCCAACACCCTCATTTTACAGAGAAGGAGGCGCAGGGGTGTGATGCTCAAAGGTAGTCAGGAGGAGAATGTGGATTAGAGCCCAAGAACTTGGACTTTGCAGTGAAAAGGAACCAGAGGATGTAGCTTTATTTTCAGACTCTTCCCCCCCGGGGAATGTGGTCAAGTCACAGAGCTCAGAGACTCAGTTTTCCCATCTGTAACCTGAGAGGGTAGGCCCATTGCAGCTCAAATCTCTGCTCCTACGATACTACTTTGAGGCCTCATCATACCCTGAATGTGACCATGGGTTTCACAGGCTATCCCAGCAAATCCTGGCCGGTTTTACCCTCCCAACAAGTCTTTGAATGCAGTACCTACAAAAGACTCCATCTGCTTCCTAAGGACCGGCCCAGCTGAATATGGACAGCCTCATCACCTGGCCTCATCTCCAAGAGGCTGACCACTTAGAGATGGACTCTTTGGCCAAGGAGCCCCATGAAGAGGCACGAAGGGGCTGCAGTTTGTACTCTTGGAGGGAATGAAGACATCAAGGAGATCCCAAATCCACTGGCATTTTACCACCACTGTCATTTTTTGTCCAATATCTCTTCTCCCTTTCTAAGCTAGACTTCCTGGAAAAACTGTCTACACCCACTTCCTTCATTTCCTCTCCTTTCTCTCACTCCTTGACTCTTTGCAGTCTTGCTTCTTTATCTGACTGAAACTGCTCTTCCCAAAGTTACCAGCGGTCTTTAAAGTGCTAGTTCCAACGGTCTTTCCTCTGTCCTCTCCTTCTTGACCTCTCTGCTGCATCTGACTCCGTTCATCACCCTCTCCTCCTGAATATTCCCTCCCCTCTGGGTTTTCTGGCTTCTCCTCCTACCTCTCTGACCCCTCCTCAGTCTTCTTTGCTAGTTCCTCATCATCCATATCACACCCCCTAATCACTTTGCCACACCCCGTGGATATAGATTATTCATTTATTACGCAGGATTGCTTATTCTTGCCATTTCTGCATCCGAAGCATCTCTTGCTTCCATCCCTTTGCATGACCCCTACCTTCCTCTTGGCCCTGGTCACCTCTCACCTGGACCAGGGTGATGGCCCTCTAATCTGGCCTCCCCGCCTCTTGCTTCTCCCCTCTCCAATCCATCCTCTGCTCAGCTGCCAAAGTGATCTTTCTGACGTGGAAGTCTGGCCACAGCACTTCCCATCCAAAAAATCCAATGGCTCCCTGTCACCGCGAGGGTCAAATATTAGACACCTGCTGGATACTCTTCATTCACTTGGCTCCCACCTACCTTCACAACCTCATGACACAGGGCTCCCCTTTACACTCTGGACATTCCAGCCAAAGTGGCCAGGTTTGTTGCCTCTTGGATATGACACTCCATCTCCGGCCTCCGGCTCTTTGCAAAGGCCATTCCCTATGCCTGGCATGCCTTCTCTCCTCATCTCCACTTTCTAAAATCCTCAGTTTCCCTCAAAACTTCTGCAGGAAGTCTTGCTGACTCCCACCAGCTGCTAGGGCCCCCCTCCTCCCAAGGACTTTGTATTTCTTTTGTATATTCATGCTGTCTTCCCCAGGAGAACTTAAACTGCTTGAGAAGACTTTAATTTTTGTCCCTCTCCGTCCCCTAGCCAAGAGCCGGGTGCAGAGGTGGCGGCCCCTCACCAGCCTTCCTTACCTCCCAGGGCCGAATGCGGTTCTGGGAGGGGCATCCAGAGGCATTACAGCCCAGGGAGAGGTGGAGAGCTTGAGCCACACTGTACGCGGCAGCATAGGCAGCAAAAGTCTGGTGATGGAGCAGACCAGACTCGATGTCCTTGTGGCTGATGTCGTCACACTGTGGACACTGTGGCCCCACCACGTCATCGTGGGACTGGGGCGGGGCCTCTCCCAGGGTGTCACAGAAGGTCTGGTTGGCGGCCTGGGTCAGGCACTGGTTAACATAGTCACTGAATTCGGGCAGTGGAGAGCTCCGCAGGAGGAATCCCAGGATGGTGCCCACCCTTTGGATGCCAGGCAGTCTGCTGACCTGCTCAGACACCAGCCAGGAGTCACTGGCCACCCACACCTTGGGGGTCACCTTGGTCTGGATGCAGTACTGGAACAGGTTGCGGGCAGCCGCCTCAGAGGAGAACAGGACCACCACCTTCACGCTGCTCTGGTTGATCTGTCGCAGGATAGACTCCACCTTGCCCAGATCCTGGGAGTCCTGAACCCTGGGCAGTGGCAGGGTGCCTTCGTGGGCAATGCAAATGCTCCGGCTGTTGGCGAGGGTGGAGAAGATGCTGAGCCCCTGGCGCCCATACTCATCATCGCTGCCCACGGCTGCCACCCAATTCCAGTTAAACAGGCTCAGCAGGTCCACTATGGCCTGTAGCTGCACCCGGTCACTGGGGATGGTCCGGAAGAAAGACGGGTACAATTCACGGTTGCTCAGCCGGTCAGTGCTGGCCCCATAGCTGACCTATAGGAAGAAAGGCTGTGCCGGGAGGGTGCCCGATGTCCCTCAGCCAGGGCCCTTTAGGAGAGTGGAGGCCTGCTGGGGAGGATGAAGCTCTCAGGGAGGACGTGACTTTGGGGATGGGGCCTCAGTGAGGGCCTGGGGGGACAGGGGTCTCAGTGAGGGGAGGAGGATGGGGGTACAATGAGGACATGGAAATTTCCTGGGTGGGGTCAGGGGCGAGAGCTCAGTGAAGGGAAGGAAGGCTACTGTTCACTGAAGGGAGGTGGGTGTCTCGACCTAGATAAACCCCAGGCTGTTTCCTAGCTATGCCCTCTGCCCCCCTTAGGTCTCATAACATTCAAGCCACACAAGCTCAGAAGGGCAAAGCTGATGCCCGGTGCCAAGCCTGTGTTTTGTTCCCAAGTCCAAGAGGGCTGTTTCTCATGGTCCCCCGCCATGGGAGATCCATGCCTAAGAGCAGGTTTGGGTCTGCAAGGAGCTGGGGAAAGAACTTAAGGGTCAGCAGCCCAGCCCTCCCTCCTGGGCTCCTGGTACCTGGGGCATCAGGAAGAAACCAAAGAACTTGCCCGTGATGAGGGCAAGGTCGGAGGAGTGGGGGCCGACGACCGCCACCACACGTGGCAAGTACTGGGTGTAGTTGCAGTAGGCGCCAATATCCCGGCTCCCGATTCGTGACATAAACAGGAGGCTGGGCTTCATGGTCACCATGGGCAGGGTGCACGTGTCATAGAGGTCATAGCCCAGGGACACGCCGGGCAGCAGTGCTGACGAGCTGTTGATCTCTTCAATGGCCATCTTCATGGCCAGAGCCCACAGCAGCCCCAGTGCCGAGAACCTGCATTGGAGGAGCCTCATCCTGAGCCCCAGGATTCCTCTCCCAGGGCTCCAGTCTTGGGAGATCACATGGCTTCCCCATGGCCCTGACCCTGCTCCCTATTAATGCAAGCACACATCTCCTGGGGCTGCCCTCTTATTTAGCATGCAGATGCCCTGGGGATCTCTACCCTTACCTGGTACAGAGATGCCCTGGAACCCCTTCTACCTCCACCTCAAGTTCCTTTAGGTCAGAGAATGTCAGTTAATAAATAGATTTATTAAGCAACTACTATGTGCCAGGCCCTGTGCTAAGCTCCAGAGATACAAAGAAAAGCAAAAAACAGTCCCTGCCATAAGGAGCTCACAACCTAAAGGGGGAGACGACATGCTAACAAGCTAAACACAGGAGAGATGGGGAACAAGCAGCCAAAGGAAGGCGCAGAACTAGGAGGGCTTGATCGGGAAAGGCTTCCTGCAGGAGGTGGGAGTTTGGTTGGGACTTGAGAAGCCAGGGCAGCCAGGAGGTGGAGATGAGGAGGAAGAGCCTTCCAGCCACGGGGGACAACGCCCAGGGACAATGCCTGGAGAGGGAGATGTCTGTAGAACGGGCAGAAGGCCAGCGGCACCCGATGGAAGAGCACACTCATGCGGAGTGAGGCGTAAAGAAGACTGGAGAGGAAGGAAGGGGTGGGGTCTGAAGGGCTTGGAATGCCCGATGCAGCACTGCTGTATTTGCTCCTGGAGGCAGTAGGGAGTCACTGCGGTTTATTGAGTAGGGGGGTGACGGGGTCGGATCTGCCCCTTAGGACAATCCTTTTGGTGGCTGAATGGAGGATGAGCTGGAGTGGGGAGTGACTTGAGGCAGGCAGACAGTTATTGTAATAGTCCAGGTGTGAGGGGATAAGGTCTGCACCAAGGTGCGGGCAGTGTCAGGGGAGAGGAGGGGGAGTATTGGAGAGATGCTGCAGGGAGGAACTTGCCTGGGCTTGGCAGCAGCTTGGACGTGGGGGGTGAGAGAGAGTGGAGTCCAGGATGAGCCCTGGGTTGGAAGCCTGGGGGGTGGGAGAAGGGCACTGCCTTCTCCAGTAACAGGGAAGGTTGGGGTGGGGGAGGGTCTTGTCTTCCTGTCTCCTGTCTAGCACTTTTTGGGGGGGGGCACAGATTAGCGACTGCATCTGGTAGGGCACTTCTTTAGCCGACAGAAATCAGCAGAATCTCGGCAGCTTCCTCTTAGCAGAGAGATGCCTCAGGACATTGAGAGGAGAGAGGACTTGCCCAGGGTGATGCAGCGGGATGTGCCAGAGTTGGGACTAGGGCCCCCCTGGCTTCAAGGCCAGTTCTCCGTCTGTACTACCATAGCTGCCTCTTCTCGGTGCTCATCAGGTGCTTAATAAATGAGCATTGAATGAATGGATTGTCTAGGATGTTCTAAGGCTGTGTATCTGTCACTGAGATCTCCTGCCTTCCTTATCTGGCTCCCAGACTCTCTGGGCTGCCTCATACCTGACCTGGTACCCTCCTTACCCGGGCTTACCTGGCACCTGGACACCTGGATGCTCTCTACCCAGGAACTTCTGCCATCCCACTTACCTGACACATTAAAGCCCCTGCTCTTACCCTGCAGATACCCTCTGGGTCCCCGCTTCCCACAGGCATAGCCTTCCCCCTTTACCTGCTCCACATTCCCTGGGGCTCTTCCTCTTCTCTGTCTCACAGACCTCCCCAGTCCTTCCCCACTTAGGAGTTCCCTCCATTTACCTAGCATGAAGACCCTTTGAGATTTCCTCCCCCCTTAGCTGGTACTTAGGCCTCCCCCTTTACTTGCCATACAGACCTTGGTGGACTCCTCCCCTTACCTGGAACGGATTCTCTGGGGCTCCCCCCATTTTCTTGTTATGGCCTCCCTTACACTTTTCACCTTGTCTGGTGCACAGACTCCTGGTCTCCCCACTTCCACCGGCCCCCCATCTTACCTGGCACACCCTCCCCCACCCCAGGCATTCTCCCTTCCTCTCTCCCACCATCTCAGCCTTCCCTGTCCCCGCATACTTGGTACAGAGTACTCCTTTTGGCTGGGTCCTCTCCAGGACTCCATCTTCTTTGATTCCAAAGGGGAAGAGGCCTCCCAGGATGTAGTCCCCATTCAGTTTGAGCTGCCTGGAGAGGCACAGCTTGGCCTGGGCAGTGGAGCAGGCCAGGCCCAGGCTCAGGCCCAGGTAATACAAGAAGCCCCACATTGTAAAGGGAGGGTGTGGGCAGCTTCTGTCCCCAACAGAAAGGAGCGCAGAAAGACACCTTAAATAGGCACGACCTGGAGCTGGGGGGTTGGGGAGCAGAAGGACTGGACATTTGGTTAGCAAAACCCTCTCCCTCCCCACTTACTGGCTCAGGACCCACTAGGCAAATTGGCCAGGGGTGGGAGCAGTGGAGACGGGGAGGATTTTAATAAAGTTGCTTTACATAGCCCCATCAGTGGAGGAATTTGCACACTCTCTCAGCCCAGACTGCTCAACTGGGGCCTGAGTGGACTCTCCCAATGGCCACAGCTGTGGGACCACAAATCCTGAACATTAGCTGACCAGAGATGGTTCTGGACCTGGAGGCAGGAGACTTGTGCATTCTCTATTAACTTCTGTATTTTGTTGGTTCAGTCCTTTCAGGCTTGTCCAACTCTTTTTGACCCCATTTGGGGTTTTCTTGGTGGAGATACTGGAGTGATTTGACATTTCCTTCTCCAGCTCATTTTACAGATGAGGAAACTGAGGCAAACAGGGTGAAGTGACTTTCCAGGGTCACACAGCTAGGAAGTGTCTGAGGCCAGATTTGAACTCACCTGGCTCTCTATCCATCATGGCACCTAGCTACCCACTGACTTATATATAGGATCATAAATTTAGCTGTAGGAGATCTCAGAAATTAACTAGTCCAGTTCCTACATTTTATAGAAGAGGAAACCAAGGCCCAGAAAAGTGAGGGCACTTGCCCATGGTTATACTGGTAATTGGTGTCAAAGGTAGTATTTGAACTCAAGACCTATGACTCCAGAGGTGGTTATTTTGCCAGCTGTGCCTGAAACTCAGGTGGGGTTCAGTGATTGCTGAGGTCGCATGGGGAGTGAGTGGTTAATTAAATCTCCCCGGTAGAATGTAAGCTCTGAGAAGGCAGAGACTGTTTCACTTCTGGCATAGTGCCTGGCATGTAGCAACTGTGCTTCAGAATTGTTTGCTGAATTGAAAGGAAGTGGAGTTAAGGATTCTCCAAATGAAGATGAAGAGGGGAATGGGTGGGGGGGGAGGGGTGACACAGAAGAAGCTTCATAAAGAAAGTTGCTGGATGAATACATGCTTGGAAGAAACAGGGCTAGCCCATATGTTCTCTCAGTACACACTTATCAGGAGAACTTCAGAAAGGCACCCCCCCCCACCCCTGGCGCTGGATACTGACAGGCATCACCTGGGAGGGGCTAGCGTGGATGACTTGCCACCTGCCTTAATGGAGGGAGAGGTTGAGGAGAACTCAGATCTACTGGACCTTAGAGGTCCTCCAGGAAATCAGGACTTCTTAGCTGTTTTTATATCCTGGACCCCTCAGAGTGGCAGGACCCCTAAGGACCCCACCTCAGAATCATGTTTTTTATTTTTGTTTTTATTTATTTTTTTAGTTAGGCAATGGGGTTAAGTGACTTCCCCAGGGTCACACAGCTAGTAAGTGTTATGTGTCTGAGGCTGGATTTGAACTCAGGTCCTGCTGAATCCAGGGCCAATGCTCTAGTCACTGTGCCACCTAGCTGTCCCAGAATCATGTTTTTAAATACATAAAATGAAATACATAGGATTACAAAGGAAACCAATTATACTGAAATAGTTATAAAAAATTTTTTTGTTTGTTTGGCTAGGCAATGGGGTTAAGTGACTTGCCCAGGGTCACACAGCTAGTGTTATGTGTCTGAGGTTGCATTTGAACTCAGATCCTCCTGAATCCAGGGCCGGTGCTCTATCCACTGCGCCACCTAGCTGCCCCCAAAATTTTTTTTAAGTTTAAAAAAAGTTGACAGACCCCAGGTTAAGAACCCCTGATCTAGACCAACCCTTTTCACACTATTGATGGGGAAACTGAGGCCCAGAGAAGTTGTGCTGCCCAGAACCCCTCCTTCTGCCAAGGTTGGCCTGGGGCCTCTTCCTCTCACTAGGAGGAATATGGCACAGCAGGCTGTCATGGGGGAGGGGGGCAGGCCATGCAAATGGCCAAAGATCAACAGAAGGCAAATTCTACTTAACGACAGCAGCCTTATGCCAACAGACTGGGGGGAGCTGGGCTGGCTGCAGATGGAGGCCCCTGGAGGAGGGTAGAGGGGGAGCCAGGGTATGAGGTGGAGATGTGGACGATGACAGGCAAGGGCCAAGGATGGGGGCACCTGAACATTAATTGCAGAAATAATGAGAGCTCAGTCTCAGCTGCTTGAGTTAAGGAGTGATCTGGGAGGAAGCTGGCTCTCTTTCCTGGGGGTCTGTAAGCAAAGGCTGATGACCAATTGACCAGTGGGATGCAGAGGGGACTCTTTGTCAGATGCAAAGAGTGCTGGGTTTGGAGTTAGAAGTCAGATCCTGGCTGCTGCTTGCTACCTGGGTTGACCTTAGGCGAGTCATGGAAAATCTTTGAGTCTCAGTTTGCTCATCTGTAAAAGGGACTCCATGGCCCCCAAAGTCCCTTCCAGATCGACTTTGGGGATCCTATAACAAGATGAGCCCTGAGGTCTCTTCCAACTCTGGGCATGACTGAAGGAGAAATGGAATTGGAGTTAAAAAGCCTTCCTCTCGGTGACCTTAGCCAAATCACTCCACCCTAGTTCCTTCGCCTGTCAATGGGAGGGCTGGGCTGCGTGACTTTTGAGAATTGTAACATTCTGGGATCCTGTGAGCAGGTACGGCTGGGTCCCGGACTCAGGTTCCTGCTCTAGGGCAGCAGGTGAGGGAGCTGTTTCTGCGACATTTCGGGGCACCTCACCCAGAAACCATCAGGACTAGACTCACTTGAGGCTAGTGAGGACCATGGCTGGGGGGGTCTCAGTCATTGGCAGGTGGACCCTTCTGGCAGTTCATTGGTCACCTTTAGCCCATCCTCCTGAGCTTTTCTGGACAAATCACGGGGTTCGGGTTACCCTGGGGGAGGCTTGTTCATAATCCCATCTTCACCATTCTGCAGAGATTTTAATAAAACAATTTTTACTTCCTCTAAGTGAAATATCCTCTCATCACAAACTCTCCTTCTGCTCCATCACCACGCCCTGATCCCTTAAGACCAGGTTCTTACCCTCCCCTGATCCCTCCCCCCTTTATTAGGTGCCCAGGGCTCCAGAAAGGCAGTAGGGCTGGGCTCAGCTCTCTGGTGATCATCTTCCCAAGGGGATTCATGCTCTGTATGGAGTGGAAGTTGTTAAAAAGGATTGCAAGCCCCAAACAAATCAGGGAGGGATGGATGGAGGCAGCAGCTTGGTCCCAATTCTGTTGAATCAGGAACGAGGGAAGACAAGCAGCTCATGAACTGGGATGGTTTCATTCCTTATACTTGTGTTTGGCACAGAAGCTGCTTTGGAAACACTTTTTGAGGGGCAGCTAGGTGGCACCATAGTGGATAGAGCTCCAGCCCCGGAGTCAAGAAGACCTGAGTTCAAATCCAACCTCAGACACCAGCTGTGTGACCCTGGGCAAGTCACTTAACCCCAATTACTTCCCCCCAAAACAAAAAAACTCACTTGTTGATTGACTCTCTTTGGTGCCTCATCCTACTCTTCTGGAATTCTCTCCCCCCAGTACCCCAAATGACTACTTTCAGAACCCCTTTCTACAGGACTTTATTCTCAGTCAGTGAATTGAGTGCAGGGGAAAGAGCACTCCTCTGGGTTCAAATCCTGTCCCTGCCACGTACTGCCTATGTGACCTTGGACAAGTCACTTAGTCTCCATGGGCTTCAGTTTCCTCATTTATAAAATTAAGAGTTCAGACTAAGGCCCCTTCCTGCTCAAGAACCTAATCTGTTAAATTATTCCCCACTGAGGCTGAAGCAAAGTATAGTTTAAAGTATTTGTTCTTTATATGGAGCTCATAAAAAACTGAAAAGTAAGAAGTGATCATTTCTCTCTTATATTAATAATCAATTATTGAATTAGGACCAGGATTTTTTCAGAAGCCTGCAAGTTGTTCAGTTTCTGCAGGACAATGTTGATGGATGACACTACTCCAATCCCCAGTTTTTGGATTCTGGTTGGGAGACCCTACCCAACTAGAAAACCCTACCAGTTGCTCCCTATTGTCTCCAGGAACAAATACAAAATGCTCTGTTTGGTATTAAAAGTCCTTTTATAACCTAGTCCCCCTCTTCCTTTTCCAGTCTTACACTCTACTCCCCCACACTTACTCTTTGATCTAGGGATGCTGGCCTCCTGGGTGTTCAGCAAAGAAGGTTCTCCATCTCTCAGGCTCCAGGCATTTTCTCAGGCTGTCCCCAAAGCTTGGAATGCTCTCTCTTCATCTCTGCCTCCTGGCTTCCTTGGCTTCCTTAAGTCCCAACCAAAATCTCATCTTTAACAGAAAAGTCTTTCCCAACTCCTCATAAATCCAGTGCTTTCCCTTTGTTAATTATTTTCCATTTATCCTCTATAGAACTTGCTTTGTATATACTTGTTTGCTTGTTGTCTTTCCATCAGACTGTAAGCTCCTTGAGGGCAGGGACTGTCTTTTGCCTCTTTTTGTATCTCCAGTTCTTAGTACAGTGCCTGGCACATAGTAGGTGCTTAGTAAACGTTTATTGATTGATGAATGTGCCAGGCTGGGTGCCAAGTGCTAGGCTTGTAATCCTGGGTTAGCGACTGTTTGCAAAACAGTAAAGAAATATTGCTCTTGAGCCTGTGGTCTCATCATGGGTCTCTGAAACTCTGCCTTTGGGAATTCCTACTGGGGCCCTTTATAGCTTTTCAGTTTTTTAAGAGTGCTGCATAAAAAGCAAATATTTTAAGCTAGTAGTGTCCATTTCAAATAGAAATGGCTGATATTTGCTTAGAAAACCATAAATTAACATTAGTTATGCTTGTTAAACATTTCCCAATTGCATTTTAATCTGGTTCTGGCCTCACATCATAATGGTAAGTGTTCTGGCTGTAGATTCAGGAACCTGGTCTCTTTCCCTCCTGCGCCTCAGTAAGAGGAGGGGGCTGTGGTCCCTTCTAGCTGCAGATGTAGGAGAGAATCAGATGAGGTGCATGATGCTTCCTACAAGTGTGATTTACTGATGGCTAGCAAATATTCTATTCATTTTCCAGCTTCTGGGTATCCATTCCATTCACCTCTCCTCCTAGTCTCAATCCCCAGCTAGGTCTGCTCTTTCATGAGCTGTGGGAGGTATGCTTGTGGGAAGTAAGGCCACACTGACCAGGGACACTTCTGGCCAAGACCCAGCCAGAAGGAGCATTGGCCAAAGACCCAAGGTGCATGATGGAGGAACAGTGGCGACAAGTAATGTTCCCGAGAAAGCATTTCTGCTGGTTTGTCGTGGGTAGTGTGGGTGCCCACAGGGGGTATGGCATTATTAGCCTAATGGGAAATAGCAGGGCAGGAGAGATGGGTGGCAGGCAGTGTCAAAGAGGGCTGGAAAGCCCCTTGGACTCCAAGATCCAGGAACAGAGGTTAAAGGTTGCCCATCGCCCAGAGATGACTTCACTTCTTTCTTTATAGGGCAGGCTAGGCCCTTGCTACTCCAGTGGCTTGTTCCAAACACAGTACCTTGTTGCCTAATTTGTGGCACTGGGTGGGGCCCTGGGGTGGCTGGGAGGATCCCACTTCCTGCCAGGGAGGAGACAGAATGGAATGTTGGCCTTTGGATCACAGCCTCAGCCAAACCAATCCCAAAGCACTTTTCTTAACCTGTGACTGAAACAGTCAGTGCCTGGACTGGAGGATGGTGGGATGAGCCGCTTCACTGGATGGGAGCTCCCAGGGCTTTGGGACCTCCAGGCTGCAGTGTCAGTAAGTCAATAAGTGACTGCGAGCACCTAGGGTTTGATACTAAATGTCCTCACTCTGTGAGGTGGTGACCTAGGGAGACAAGAGTCCATCCACCTCTGGAGTTCAGGGTTCAATTCTGGGCATCGCAGTGTAGGAAGCACATTGATAAGCCGAGGGCTCTTGAGGAGAGCTACCAGGATGCTGGCGGGCTTTGAGTCCATTCCATAAAAGGCTCGGATGAAGGGACTTGGCACATTGGGCCCAGAGAGAAGGCGGCTTTGGGGTGAGGTGGAGAAGGACATGAGAACTGCCTTCGAGGATTTGAAAGGCTGTCATAGGGACAGGGGAGTAATTAGGTTTTCTTTTGTTTGGCCCCAGATGGCAGAGCTAGAAACTGGGGCAGGTGGGAGATGGGACTTAACTTGGGCTCCACAGATACCCAGGATAAAGGTTGACGAGGAGAGCGGTCCCAGAGTGCAACGGCCGCCTCGGAGGTGGGAGGATCACTGACTCAAGGGTCTCTGTGACTTCCCCCCACAGGTTTTGTGGTAGAATTTATACAGGCTTTAAGGGTGACAAACCACTTCCCAATCATCATCTTATCTGATCCTCCGAACAATTGCTTGAGGCAGGTGCTATTATCATCCCCATTGTACAGATGAGTAAACTGGCTGAAGTGAAGAAGGGTCACACAGCTGGCCAAGTACATGAGACAGGACTGGAACCTGGATCTTCCTGACCTCAAAGTGTTTTGTTCCGTGAACCCCTTTCAAGAACAACCAAAAAATGTGTTGTGACCTCCTAGGGTAATTTAATATACTAGTCATGATATTCTTTTAGATTTATTCATTAAGTGCTTACAATAACTACAATGATAACTTTTGCCCCCAGAAGCTCATGATGGCGCAGAAAACCCTATCATGCTTTCAAGCACATGCACATATTTGTGGTCAGACAGAAAATATTTTGGTCACCTAATTAGGCAACTTTTTACAACTGAAGGGCCCCTGACAGAATCCTTGGGCCCCAGACGGAAATCACTGCCCTATCCACTGTTATCTGCCGCCCTCTAGTGGAGAGTCTTTGAGGGTATGGGGGGGGCGGGGTCTTGAAGGCCTCCCAGAGCCTTGCCGACCTGATTGGCCCACAGCAAACAGCTCTTCCATAGGTTCAAACACTCAGTACACTACCATCCACCAAGCATGATTTATTTTAAATGCAAAAATAATCAAATATATTATGATTTCTCCCCCAAGGAATGAAGTTCCACAGTCCTGCTGTGTACATGTCACAGAAAGGGGCAGATCCGTAGAAAGCGCATCTCCCAGGGAATGTGGAGTCATTAGCAACAGAACACACAGGAGAGTGATACCCAGGGCAACCCCTAAAGTCCTGTCCTTCCCCTCCCTCGCCCCCAGATCCCAAGATCTGACCAGCTTCAGACCACTTTGTAAATACCATCAAATCCGATGTCACTTGGGCAACAGGGGCGGGAGAAGCCCCTCTTATAACCCTGCCCCCTGCCCCCTCCCCCCCTGCCCCATCATAACAGGAGGCCTAATGTTTCCATTTCTGGAGAGAGGGAGGGAATTGGGGCACAGGGGGATAGCACCACCTTCTCCAACTCCCCAGCTCTCAGGAAACAGCTCACGCAAAGGCCCCTCCCTCTCCACCCAGGGCTGCTGCTACCCCCTCCAAAGGGCAGGGACAGAGGACGGAAGCCCATTGCCCTGGGTTATCTGCTGGAAACCTTGCAGGTAATAGAGGAAAGGAGAGCAGCCAGGGGAGGCCAGATGGGGCAAAGACTGGAGAGCCATGCAAGATGAAGGAAAGATGGCTACTGTACCCCAGCTACTCTACCCCATATTCCAAACACTAGGCTAGGCAGCAGTCCTGGGAGTCTTACTGCATAAGCTGAGGGCCCACTACAGAAGCCACAAGTCAAATGAAGCCCTGTGTGAAAGCCAAGGTGGGAAATGTGGCCCTTGGGCCTTTCCGGGGGGTTTGCTTAGAGCAGCACATACCCCTTTCAAGCAGCATTTTCAAATGTCTCTAAGAATGTGAGGTCACCCATTTTTCACACCTTTCAGAAGAAACTCACTGTTGGGCGGGGGGCTGTTGTGGTCCCAGAAGGGTCATAGGCTTAGGGGTAACCATTATGCATTTTCCTGAGGAAACCTTCTCTTGGGGAATGTGATTCCCTGGGATGAGGCAATCTTGGGGAGAACTGCATAGGAATAGGTATTTCGCTGAGGGATTTTTCTTAAGGATGACCCCTCAAAAGAGAAGAGCCCAGTCAGCATCTGCTGCTTCAAGCAGGGGAGCGAGCTGGCCATGAATGTTGCTGCTTCTAGGCTATCAGCTGCTGCTCAGCCGCAACCAGGATTTCAAGTAATAACCTGGCTGAGGGCCAGCCAGGAATGTCTCTCTGTGGCCAAGATGCAGAATCCACAGCATTTTTGTCAAGAGATCAGGAGATGGCCAAGGTCTCATGCCAGGGGGACATGCCTGACTTTCCAATATCATGTGCATGACGAAGGCCACATACCCCTGAACTGGGCTCTTCAGCTGACGGGACCGCTGCCAGATTTTAGTTGGTCTTACTACTCACAGTAGCTGAACCAGGGCCCCGGCACCCAAGGAGCAAAACACCGGCAGGGGTATAGAAGACAACACTGTCTTTGGTGAGACACCAGAGATACACGCCTGGAACTTTGGTTTAAAAACAAACAAACTCTTTAAAAGCCCCAGGGGGAAATCCTATGCAGGCTGTGGCTTCCCTTGCTAGAGACCCATGAGCAGGAGGTGGTAACCTTTGCTAGCTGAATTAGATGGATACATGTAAATGATTTCCTTACAAGAGGCTGGAAAAGGAAATAAATTATTTTGCCCCTGAGATAATTGGCGACCCTGTGCTTTTACATTTCACTAAAGAACATTTTCAGAGACAAGGTTAACAAAGTAGTTAGAAATTAAAATGACAGATCCCTGGATTTGACTAGAAGACAGCCTCTTCTCTTATGCCCGACTCCCATTTAAATATGAAAATGCTTCTTTTGGTAGGGGGGAAAGGAGTTGGAATCAGAATAGGTCGACGTGTAATCATACGTATTTCTTATGTTTGCAGCCTGAGCACTGCAACGTGATTCAAAATAAAAAATTTTTTAAAAAACTATACCAAGTTTTTTTCTTTCTGCTTTTGATTAGGAGAGTGAGCTGTTCAGAGTGAGGGTAGAGTTCAGGGCAGAGTTGTCTGACTTCCCCGGAGGTAACATGATTTTACTTAAAATTATTTCTGATACTTTAGATGGTCGGCAGGTCTGGAGGAGCTGAAACCAGTACCCTCAAGATGTAAACATGGCCCTCTGGTTTCCAATGATCTCCAATCCAAGGATCGTCAACGATTCTTTGGCGCTCCCTGCAGAGCCGTGTTGCCTTCCGAATACCTATTCCCAGCCAAGTAAGTGACAACCAAGTCCAAGCTTGGTGGAAGATGAGGGAAGAAGCCAAGGGAGCTCCGAGTGGGGCCTGACACATCAGGAAGTGCTGGATGACAGGTCTGGTTGTATCTTCTCTATCTGGTATCTAAGGCAGGAGCGTCACCTTGGGGCCCGGCCTCCTCGCAGCTATGGAAGCTCCAACAGGGTATGCTCCTCAAAGAGTTTTTGGGTGACCTGGTAGACCTGGCAGATGAAGGGCATGGCTTCATTCAGCATCTCCACAGCCTCCTCGGGGGCGCCCACATTCATGGTCTCTAGGAAGGCGCTGCGGCTGGGCAGCGTGCAGAATGCCATGGTGACGGCTTTCCGGATGATCCAGGGGTGGTAGGAGGCCAGAGTGCTGTTGTAGGAGTCTGTGCAGAGCACTGAGGTCTTGCAGTCCTCCTGGCTAGTCCTGAGCCCCTCCAGGAACATCTGCAGCCAGTGCAGGGCCCGGTGCAGGCGGAGGATGGTGCGGCAGCCAGAGTCAGGGTGATCAGAGCACTTCTGGAAGTCCACCAGTCTGTTGTCCAACTCATACTGCACCATGCACTGAAGGCTGGAGTAGTTTTCTTTCTGGTCACTGCTGCGGAACCTCTCCATGATCTGGATTTTGGTCATTAAGTCCTTTGAGATGAAGGAGAAGATGGTGCCGAGCTTGTTCAGGAACCTACATTTTCAAGACCAAACAAAGTGTCACCTGGCTGGGGGAGCCTGTCACGGCCATTCTCTGAAAGGGGGCCCCAGCTCTGCCCTCTGGGGTGAGAGAAATGAGGCCAAAGGGCTGATCCCAGGGGGATTTCCCTGGGGCAGACTGCTACAGAAACATGAACCAGCTGAGGCAATCAGGGAGGGAGTGGGCTGAAGTAAAGTGGGCATTCTGGTTCTCAGGGGCAGGGTCACCAACACCAATAATGGGAAGGACACAGGTCATCTAAGTTCCAGCAAAATGCTACTTCCAAAATCAAAACAGCACAGCCACCTTGCGGCTGCTTCCCTTTCCCTGTGACTGCTCAGAGGGCCATGTATAGCTCTGGCAGCCAAAGAGGGTATGGCTGGGACAAGGGGGTGACATCTCCTTGGTGCAGATCCTGTACCAACCCTTGCTGCCCCAAATGCATCTCCCAGGTGGCTGATGTGCCACGAGGGCACATCATGGTGCCTCCGCAGGAGGGTCTATATGTCGAGGGTCTATGTGTCGGGCCTCACGGGCCAATGGAAGAGTCCAGTCACTGGTGCCTGTAAAATGCTTGTAAGGAATGTGGACTTACGGAAGGTGAAACTGCTGCCCAGCAAAGCCTGCTGCATTCTGTGTGGCCCTGTGCTCACCCCACCACGCGCTGATGGACCCCTCACACCCTCATCCTAGATGTCTCCTCACACACAGTTCTCTTCCCATATGTGTTGTCTGATACTCAGGCACAGCCCAGCCTCCCACAAGTGGTTGGATTCACTTGCACTCTCTTCTCTTCACACAAAAGGGAGAATAATAATAATAATAATGATAATGATAATGATAATGATAGATCACATTTATATAACACTCTGTGCCAAGGCACTGCGCTAAGCACTTTACAATGACCATCCCAACAACCCTGGGAGGTAGGTGCTATTACTATGCCCATTCTACAGATGAGGAAACAGAGGCAAACAGAGTTGCCCACGGCCACAGTGAGAGTCTGAGGCTGGATTTGAACTCAGGTCTTCCTGACTCCAGGCCTGAAGTGCCACCTGGGAGCCCCCCCCAGCATGAGCTCTCCCTGGCACTCTGGCCAAAGCCCCTGGGATCCACAGAATGCCCTGGCACACTCACCTGATAAGGCCTTTCCAACCGGTAATATAAGGGTCCATGAGGACTTCCTCCTTCTCGCTGAGGCATTGCTTGAAACTGATCAGCACTAACTTCAGGTTAAAGTCGGCCTGTTCGTCAGCCATGGTCCACCACAACCTGAAACACACACAAGGTTCCCGAGCGATCAGGGAGCGTGCATCCGCTTTGGAGGCCTGGCTGGAATGGCAGACCTGATGTAATGAGGCATCTTTCTCAACACTGGCTCCCACTCACCCAAGCTGCTGTGGGATAGAAATGCCATCCAAGCAGAGTCAGGCTCCCAAGAAACTTTGGTAAACACAGCCAGCTCACTGAGTCTACAAACCTGCCAGTAGTCAGTGACTGGACAAGTCTGAGATGGGAGAGGCCAACCTGGAAGACATGCCCTGCCCTGGAATCTCTCGGGTACCCTGGATTCTTTGGCGGCCCATCTTTCCATCCTGGACCCAAGCCCAACTTCCCAGCAAAGCAGGAGACAAAACAAAAATTATTAAGATGAGGGAAGGCAGGAAGGAGAGGAGGGAGGCTACCCTTCATGCTACAGCTATAAGTCTTCCACAGATCTAAGATCTGTTTGCAATGCTCTAGGTTGTTAGCTGTGGGTGGCGCCTATGTCCCCAGATCACGGGCTCTTTAAAGGAAGGTCACATGCTTTTGTGTCTCCCCATGCACCCAGCATGGTCCAGAACACAGACTTGGCATTCAGTATTACCCTCGATGGCTGCCAGTATGATTAAAATCAACAAAGGGGGATGGCAATAGATTTAGGAATGGGGATTGAAGAGTTGAGGACCCCAAGACTTGAAGACGACTGAGGGCGGCCAATGGAAGATCAGGATTCTAGGAATTAGGACACCTCGTTCCCTCTTGGTTGTTGACTGCTTCCTCCCTCTTTATCTCAGTTCCCTTATTTGTACAATGAGAGGGTTGGATGTGTTGATCCCCAAGGTCCCTTCCAACTCTGACATTCTATTGTCTAAAGTCTCTTCCAGTTCAGATGGTCTATCAGTCAATGACAGATCAATTTATTGTTTAAACAGCCTCATGCTTTCTTATGATGGAGAATGAAAACAGCAGCAAGCAGGAAAATGCTGTGGGACTTTTTAATGATCTTTGGCTCCACAGTCTGCTATGTATACCGAGAAAAGAGGAAACTAAATGGTTTTGAGCAGGCTGAACAGCTGAGGATGGATGGGCCCGGCTCAGCTTCTGAAAGGTAAGGCCAATACCCACAATGGACATCACTTGGACTCTGCTATGATTACACTGGCTGTAAACCATTTGTCAGAGCTTCAAGGTCAGGGATGAGGAGCGGAGCACAAAGAAGGAAGGGAGAGGGGAGGGAGGGTATAAGAGTAGCCAAAGAAACAGAGTCTTAACGCTCTCCAAATAGCCTGGCTATGCTGACTCTCACAGGCACTTTGCCTAGCTCAAACCAAAGGCTCTTAGAGAGCAGTGGTCTGGGGTTCGATTGTAAATATGCTGGCCCCCAGTTCCCATTCCACTTCATTTAGCATGTGTATTGAACACTTACCACAAGCAAAAATAAATTTCAGAGCAGCAGAGTCTGACTCAGCACAGAGCAAGCCAGAGAAGGCCCCTCTGTCCCCTCCATGGAAGGAAGAAGACCCAACCCCAGTGATACAACAGTGCCATACATACCAGGGTCAGATGGAGAAGGTAAAAGGGGAGGGGATCCCAGGGTCTTACTCCTGGTTCTTCTGTCACTGCCTTCAGGTCCTAGAGTCACATCCTTGAAAAAAAAACACAAGAGTAGCAGAATGTCAGGCCCAGACCCCTTCGTCCTGTTCAGGTGCATAAAATACCTACGTTACAGAGGAAACCATACATGTACATAAACATAAATATTTACATATTTATATGTTATATATTGTTATATATTTATAGTATGTATTATATATTTAAACATAAATATATGTCTATATACACTATATATAAATACACATTCAGCATAAATATGTTAAAGTTTACTAAGCCCCTCGATTTCAAAGTCAGGATAAAGGAGGACTGAGAGGTTGGGAAGAAATCCATCTAGTCCCACCCGCTCTGACAGATGGGGAAACTGAGGCCCAGAGAAGGCAGAGAGTCAGACGTGGGTCGGTCAAGGCAGGGACAGGAGCCCCGGATACCGGGACCGTGACTCGGGCCCTGGGGCCCCTTCCCCCCCCAGCGCTGGGGGAGCGGAAGGCGGGGACTCGTGACCCTTGACCCGCCGCCCCCACCCCGGGCTCTGGGTCTAGTCAAAGGCCAGGATCTCCCCCCAGTACCCCTGACACCCGCCTACAGTTCCCCGACCCCTGCATCCCAGAGCAGGCATCGCCCCGAGCCCATCTCCCCAGCCTCACCTACACCTGACTCACCTGATGTTTTCGCAAGACTGCAGGTTCTTGGGTGGGGCCTGTCCTCAATCTCCTCCAATCACCGCCCAAGATCCGTTCCCAAGTCCCCGCCCCAGTTTGACTGACTGGGACAGAATCCAATGGAGAGCCGGCAAAGAGCGCCGGTCCAGAAGGGCAGGTCCAGGGCTCAGGAAGGCCGGCTCATAGGCTGGGTTTGCGCCTGCGCGACGGTTTCCGGTCGTTGCCGCTGTCTCCGCCCCTCGCGCAGGCGCAGTGCCTTGGGACTCTCTGTGAGTACGGAAGCCTGTGCGGCTTGGCGCGTGGAGGGCTGAGGTGTGGAGAGGGAAACGTTGGGAGCCCTCGCCGCGGGGGTGGGAAGAGGAGGGCCGGCCGATTTCCCAGGGACCTGGAAGTCTCCCTCTCCGACCTGCCCGCCTCTCCCGGTGGCCCCCTGCTCAGGGTCAGCCTTCCTCGGGTGGGCGGCCCGGAGCGCCATCCGGACTGGCCCGCTGGGATGCGGGCGAGTGACGTCACCGCGGGCGAGCAGCTGCTCCGAAGGCGGGGGGGGGGCGTCCTTGCCGGGGAGCCGGGAGTCGGCCTTGGGGTCTCCCGACAGAGCCTGCCTTGGCTCACAGTGTGGAGATGCAGGGGAGCCCAGGGTGACGCCATGCTGGGATCGTAGAACTTAGGGCTAGAAGGGACCTTGTTTTCGTTCATCTTTCTCTTCCTCCCCCAATTAACGAGTGAGGAAACTGAGTCCCCGAGAGGTTGTGGAACTTGCTGAAGGGCAGCGAGTCAGGGGTCAGAGCAGGGACTAGAGATCCGTCTCCTGGCTCGGAGAATGACTTGCCTAGAGTCACACAAATGCTAAATAGCAGAGCCAAGATTTGAATCTGGACCCCTTGACTCCAAATCCTGTGCTCTTTTTATGATAACACATTGCTTTATGTATGATTTACGAAGTTCTTATGAGAAGTAAGTGGTTTCTGCAGCTGATACTCCTAAGCCACTCAGCCTGGGAGGAGCAGCTAGGTGCAATTCAAAAGATGGCTATTAAATTTCTTTTTAAATCGTTTTTGGAGGCAGAAGAACATCCCTAACTACTACTACTAATAGTAGTAGTTCTTATTTCCTGTAGCCCTAACTGCCAGCTACAGTGGTGCTTTTCATACAACAATCACGTAAAGAGGCAGTGTGATGTACTGGGAAGAACCCTGGATTTGGAATTAGGCTCTAAGAGTTGGCAGGGTCCTCAAAAGTCATCTGGTCCAGCCCATACCATATTCAGAAGGCTTGTTCCCTACTACTGGATTATCTGTGTGGCTATGGGTGAGTTATTTAACTGCCATGGCCCTTAATTTCCCCTTTTCTAAAATGAAGGGGTGTGGACTAGATAATTTCTAAGGTTCCTTCCATCTGTAAATCCTTTGAGAGGTAGCCAGGCAGTACAATATTTTACAGATGAAGAAAGTGAGGTCACATGATTTAGGATCTAGAACTCAGGTCTCCTGACCCAAGTTCAGATTAAGATAGTGATGGTGGCATCATCACCATGGTTTCCTAGCATGCTTCACCCTCCAGAGACCTCTAGTATATTGTTGTGTCAGTAGAGTAAGACTTAGACCACCAGTATTTCAGACTGCTTTGGCATAGAGCTAATAACCAGAGCTGAGGAAACCTTGCCTGGTTTTTTTTGGGGGGGAGGGGAAGCAGATGTCTCTGTTTCAGCACCTGCTTCATAGTCAAAAAACTACAGCCTTCTGTGTTGGCCCCTTTTCCTTTTAGAAGTTATGACATCCTGACAAACGGTACCTGTGTGCTCTCAAAGAACCGTGCTTTGTAGGCACTGCTCTATGGTGTCCTGGATCTAGCCTGATGAAGTACTGAGAGCTTGGCCACTCAGGATGCCAGAGATTAAAGTCACTCCCTTGGGTAAGTTAAAAGATGTTAAGTTTGATTAAAAAAAGAAAGTTTTCCAGATGAAAATAACATTAAATCAACAAAACTTTATGGTAATAAACTTAGAAGCTGGAATATTCTCTCTAAGAGATAACATTGGTTACGGCTTAGCTCTTCATTCTGTGCTCGGTGTGTATCAAGCCCCTTTCCATGCCCACTGATGGAGGGTAGCTATGTGTGGTATGGCTATCCAGGAGGGTCCCACTGATGCTGTTCTTGGATGGGCAGTGTTATATACAGAAGGCTCTCTTTCTGAATTATGTTTTCCTTTGGCTCATGGTAAAAGGAATTTGCCTTCCTTTAGGAGAGACGCAGTTGGCATTGTGGGGAATTAGCCCAAAAGTGTGTAGGATAGTGAGAGAGAATTCATTTTAAGGGGTTAAATATCTTGGGACAGATTATTTAGAGGAGAGAGGGATGGTTGGGATATGGAAGAATTAGAGAAGACTTCCTGGTGGAGGTAGTGGGATGTGAGTTGGGGATTGAAGGGTGAGCTGGATTTGTTGAGAAGATGGGGAGGCCCTATCAGGCCATGTGGGCAACTATGTTCTGGATCAGGGGGATGGGCTGGAGAACTGGGGGAGGCGAGGTAGCGAGTTCTGCTCTGGTTTGGCTGGAGCAGAGGACTTGTGAGAGGCAGCAGATGCTTGATTCCCCCTTCTTCTGGGAGGAGGTGAGACATAGCCTAGTTACTAGTAACAACATCACAGTCTGTCTTTGGGAGAGGAAGCCTTATGCAGATTCAAAGGAGTTGATGTGGCTTGGGTCCCATAGCATACCACCAGAGGGTGCTCACCACCAAGATTCCAGGAATGGGCTAGAACATCCAATTTAAGGGTTCAGGGGAGTTTTTGGTGTAAAGCAGAGGCCTCTACAGTGTGACTTCTCTGAGACACAATCCTGTAAACAGAAACATTGCTGGGCTGATGCTTCTTAAAAGTTAATGCTTAAAGGTATTTGGCCCGTATGAATTGATGCAGAGTAAAGTAAGCAGAACCAGGAAAATGAAAGACACAATGTCTAGGAGAAAAACTGCAAACAAAAAGAACAATAAAATAAATCCAAATGTTATGTGATTATAATGGTCAATCTTGGGTCCAGAGAAGAGATGATGAAATAACACCTGTTCTGACCTCTTCTTTCCTCAACTTAGGCTGCTCCAGACATTACTAATATGGAGTCTTTCAGCCTTTGAATAGGAAGATGCTGTGCCTATTCTCAGGACTTTTTCTCAGCTCCCATTGATCAGTAGTCATGTAATCTCCCTTCTGCAAAGCTGGATGCTGGGGGAGATACGGAGTCCAGATGAGACCCTAGTGGAGCTCACAGTCTGGTGGGAAAATGCCCAGGAGCCCTTTGCCCTGTAGGGTCCTCTTTGGCTTCTGTGGTGTTGGTGACAGTGGCAGAAAAGGAGGCAGATGGAGTCACGGTGGTAGACTGTCTGTCATCATTCACGTGGCTGGTGGTGGTTTTAAACATGAGCCCCTTGTCCTGTGACCAGTGAGGGAGAGGACCTGCTCCTGGAAAAAGGAGCCCTGCCAGTCCTCACCTGCTCACTGTCAATGAGACCAGAAGACAAGTGGGAGTTGGAGCTGGGCCCGGGGGTGGCAGCTGGCAGAGGAAGGACCTGCTTTTCTTGTATATCCAAAGGCAACAAGAAGTTTCAAAGGGCAGTTAATTCTTTGGTCCATCACTGCCTTTGATACGGGGCTAGCAGTGAAAGCAGTTTGTGTACCAGCATCAGAGGCACAGGCTGGGGAAGAGAGTACATTCTAAGGAGAACTTGGAAAGCCCCTCCAAGGGAATCAGCAGTCAGGGGCTTTAGAGCAGGGGACGGTGACAAATATTTGGGAGAACATGATTACAGATGAAAGATGAGAGGCCACACACTGGTACTTCATGCAGAAGCCTCACACTAAAATGCCTTTTTTTTTCCTTTTCAAAGATTGTTATTGGTAGCTTTTGATTTTAAAGTTATTTCCATGTGTACATACCTCCCCTCCTTAGGCAGATGATGGTGCAACGGAGTCAGGAAGACCTGAATTCACATCTGACCTCAGACACGTAGAAGCAGAGTGACCCTGGGCAAGTCATTTGCCCTCTGTCTGCCTCAGTTTCCTCAGCTTTAAAATGGGGGTGATAACAGCACCTACCTACCAGGGTTGTTGTGAGGATCAAATGAGATATTTGTAAAGCACTTAGCACAGTGCCTGGCACGTAGTAGGCACTACAGAAATGCTTGTTCCATTCTCCTCTTCCCTTATTCCCAAAGAGGCTTCTTCTATAACAAAACAAACAAACAAAAAGCAGTTAACACCAACTTGGGACAGCATCTGATAGTGTTTATAAAATTCCATGTCCATTTCCTCCCACCGGTCAGACAGAGAGAGGAAGAGGCGTTATTTCATCATCTCTTCTCGGACCCAAGACTGATAATTATAATCACATAACATTTGGACTCATTTTATTGTTCTTTTCATTTGCAGTTTTTTTCCTGGACATTATGTCTGTTGTTTTCCTGGTTTAGCCTAACTTTACTCTGCATCAGTTCATGCAGGTCTTTCCCTGCTTCTCTGATTTTCATGTTTGTCATTTCTTATACTTCAGTAGTATTTCTTGACATTCACATACCACAGTTCAGTCAGCCTCCATTTGATGGCCACCGATTGTTTCCAGTTTTTTTGCTACCACAAAAAGCGGTGCTGTGAATATCTTGGCAAATGTGGCACATTTCTTTCTTGGCTTGGCTTTGTTTGTGGTATTTGCATTCCAGTGGGATTTCATGAATGCTTTCTTCAAGGTGTAGTTACAGGGGTGTAAGGTCACATCCTTTGCAGTCTGGATCCAGTCAGAGGGCTGCACTTGAGGACCTAGAGGACCACATGTGGCCTCAAGGCCGCAGGTTCCCCAGCCCTGGAGCTGGTGAATACCAGTAATACCATGGCAATGGCAGAAGATTATAGGAAGTGGTACTTCCTAAAATATTGAGAAGCAATAGAACGAAAAAATTTTTACAAAATGTATAACAGAGACCCAACACTAAGCCAGATTACCCGAAGGGCATTTAAGGATGAAACTGGACGGAAAATGACATAGATCAATAATTGAAAAGCTCTATAAAGGCTTACATAACAAACTTTTTTTTACCTGTGGCCATGGAGCCATT